GTTCACACCGGCGTAGCTTACTGAGTTTTGTGTACGTGCTCTGCTTACTCATTTTTTAATACGCCAGTATGAACAAATTTGTTCACACCGGCGTATTAAAAATGCGTAAGCGGAGCACGTACACAGAACTCAGGAAGCTATGAATAAAAATGTTCATAAGCTTTTAGTGAGCAGTGTTCTGTCGTTTTTCAACGTGTTTCCTGTTTCCATCATACAACCAGCAGGCTCCGTAATTATTAATAAACTGCCTATAACGTTATGCTAAAAGATTCTATTGATAGAATTCAACCGATTTCTACCTGTCCAGTCCAACGTTTCTTCATATAGTATCATCTACTAGTGTCGGTCAATTTTTAAAAAATCATAACTTCAATTTCTACTTAAACATGTATTTTGTTACGTTGAGTACCCGCCATTCGTTCGTGTTGTGGTAAGTTACGAACGGAGCCCTTGTTCACACCACTGCTCTCCGGCCTGCAGCCCAGCCTGGCCCTGGAGCGGGACCGCACGGGCAAGACGGCGCTGCACTACTGCGCCGAGCAGGCCGGTCCCGCCTCGGCCGCGCCGCTGCTACAGGTGGCGCCGCAGCTGCTGGACGCCAAGGACCAGGACGGCTACAGCGCCCTCACCCTGGCCGTCATCGCCGGCAACAGGGCGCTCGTGCGCTACCTCCTGGCCAGGGGCGCCGACGTGGACGCGCAGGACAACGAGAAGCACTCGGTCGTGCACTGGGCCACGGGTGAGTGTCCTCGAGCAGGCCCTTCATGTCGCTCCTAGCGGGGGGCCGAGAAGGGTGGCGGCGTGGAGAGGTTGGCGCGTCTTGTGCCGGTAAGTGCTGCATTGTGGGGCTAGATCGCGTGCCATCGGAGCTGCCAACCTGCTGGGTCGAACTGATGGGCTCATCACGGCGCCATTCTCAGTGCAGCCAACAGCACAACAGGCCCCTCCCCTCCCCCTCCTCCTCCCCTCCCGCTGCGATGGCCACCCTCTTAAAGGGGCTGGAGTCCGCCCGCCACGCCACGCCGCTCCGGCTGCGGTGAAGCAAAAGGGAGCCCCGCGGGCGGCGGCCTTTGTGAAACTTTTAAGCGTGGGCCAATTACAGCGTCACGGGAGGGCTTAAATCACCAGCCTTTTTCGTGGTGTAGATTACGTGTGGACGTGTGAGTTATTGACTGCCCGTCTGGCGCGTGCGGCCTTGGTGTGGTGTGGGCGCCGGGCGGGCCGGGCGCCCCCGGTGACACACCCGCACGCGCCTCTCGCCCCGCGCCCTTTACCTTCAATGCCGCCACCACATCGTCCAATCTCTCTTTTGCAGTGTGCGGCGAGGCCGCGTCCCTGGAGCTGATCCTGGGCGGCGGTGCGCGCGCCTCCACGCCGGACCTGCACGGCGGCTACCCGCTGCACTACGCGGCGCAGCTGTGCGGGCCCCAGGGTGCCGACCTGGGCCTCGGCGCCGTGCTGGACCGGGGTGCCGGGCTGGCCGTGCTGCGGGCGCTGCTCGCCTCCGGGGCGCCCGTCGGAGTGCACGACCAGGACGGCCGCCAGCCCATCCTGTGGGCGGCCAGTGCAGGTGAGGGTGTGTAGGGCCCCGTCAGCCAACAGCATGGGCCGCCCGCCGTGCAGGCGTGCGCCGCGGGCTTGCCTACCCGCCGCTTCACAGGCGCCAGGCAGCGAGCGCGTGCAGCAGTTTGGTGCGGCATCCGAAAAGGCCACGATGTCACTTCGGCAGCGGTGGCAGATTTCTCTGGACCTCACCTGCTTTCCTTCACATACAGCTCGTAATTCCCCTTCCAGCCGATGCAGGGAAGGACGTAAGCCCTCGCTACGCGCTGCTGCTCGCATGCGCCACCGCACCACGTCGGTACGGCTCGGCCCCCAGTCGTTATGACCGTCCCTGACCACCGGAAGCCCGCCCCCTCGGCTCGTGGGGGCGGGCTCTCTCCCCTCCCGGAGGGTTCAGTGCAGTGCGCCGCCCGGGCTTACCCAACGCCAAGGACACACAGGGAGGCCGGACCGGGGACCCACCCGGTGCCATGATTTATTCCTCGTTGTTGGTCACCAGCCCGTTGGTCGCCCGTCGCTCCGACGTCCTGTCCCGCTTTCGCTCAAGGCCCCGCCGCGTCACGGGGGTTTTCAGTCCGGCTCTGGCTTCTGCCCCGCCCTCCCGCGGCCGGGCGATATGCAAACAACACCCAGCCGCCCGGCGCTGGCGAAGGGCTAAACTCGTTTCCACGCATCATCGGGGAAAACAGAGGCGAGGCCGTGCATGCAGCGGGCGGGGCGGGGCGGGGCACCGGCCGGGCGAGGCGAGCAGCTTATGTAGAGCGGGCTGTGCATACTTGCCTCCCCCGCGCTGCTGCAGGCGGCCGCCCCGCCCCGCCCCGCCCCGCTGACGGCCCCACACGGGGGCACGCGAGCCCGTATAACAATGCAGGCAAACAGCTCCGACATTTGCAAAAGCTCGCCGTTTCTGTGTAGAAATCTGAAATTAGCGTCGTGGTGGTTGTGGCAAAAAAAGGGGGGGGGAGAAGAAAGTAAAACAGTTGGCGAGGGAATTGAATTCACTCAGGCGGCCCTCCTCGGCGCACGGCACGCTCTGTGGTGGTAGCCGCCTATAGTCGCTCGCTCCGCCCGCTCGAGCTATTCGCGGACTCTTGGTGGCGACTCCCTGCCGCTACGGCACATGCCAATCGAATCGAGTGCGACGACCGAATCGCGTTGCCGAGGGTGATGAGATTCGCCCGTGCAGCGGACGGTGGTCAAAGCATCGATTCGTGGACACGGCAGAGCGAGGGGTGGCGTGAGTGAGGCAGAAACAAGGAGCAAACACAGGGGCGTCTGTCCTTGACACACTCGCTGTACCGTGCCGAGCCGCTCCTTATCACGCCCCGCCTGCCCCGCCTGGCCACGCCGCGCCCGAACCTCTCGCCTAACCCTGGCGAGTCGTCATTTTCGATTGCTCTGTCTGGGTCCTCCTTTCCGCAGGGCTCAAGTCACGGCCGGGGCCCCGGGGAACACCCCGCCGCAGATGGTATCACTGGACGCCGCCGCTTACCGAGCCCGACCCCGCCCCACCTCGCCCCACCCCACTCGCTCGTCCCGGCTACACACCGGGCCCCCATTAGCTCGTCGGGGTGTTATTATTTATTTACAGATAACTCGGCCGCTTTACATACGACACTAAAAGATGGAAAAGAATACATTTGTGTTTGTTATTTTTACGACCTTCAGCAGCCTTCCCTCCCTTCCTCCGTACGTGCCACGCCTCGCCTCGACCTGCAGGCTCCCCGTCAACATCACTGGCCTGCAAACTCTGAGGTGGGGTGAGGGGATGACTGAGGGGCTGATTGTCTGACGGGAGATTGTTTGAGTCCCCCCCCCCCCCTCTCTCTCTCTCTCTCCGCTCCATGCGACCAGGTCTGCTGCGGTCTGCGGTTTTGTGTTTGGTGATCCACGGCCTTTCATTTCCGCTGCAGGCCTTGGCCTCGGCCCCGGACTGGCCCGGCCGAGGCCCGGCCCTGCACGGCCGCGACTCCCTCATTCATGTTGCGCTTCTCATTTCCGGCTGATCGTGTGCCGAAGCCCTTTCGGCGCCGGCGCCGCTACCCTGTGCGAAACGAGTGTTGAAACCACGCGCCGCGGTCGGAACCATCGGAACAATGGCGATTTTGTCTCTCCGACGATGTGTATCGATGCCGCTGATGTTGTCGACCCGCCTTTGCCTGCTCCAGGTTCAGCTGACGCAATCCTCGCTCTGGTTAACGCGGGCGCCAACGTAGAGGCCGACGACAAGGACGGCCTGACCGGTAAGTGCTACTGCTGCTGCTGCTGCTCTTGCTCACAAATAACAACAACTCTGCCCAACTTTCTGCTGCAAATCAAATTCTCGTCATTCCTCCACAGCGCTGCATTGCGCGGCGAGCCGCGGCCACACCGACTGCATGGAGACGCTGGTGGGGCTGTGCGGCGCCGACGTGGACGTCATCGACTCCAACGGCTGCACGGCGCTCTTCTACGCCGTGACGCTGGGCCACGCGGACTGCACGCGGGTGCTGCTGGCGCACGGCGCCGAGCCCAACCGCCAGGACCGCAAGGGCAGAACGTGAGTAAACGGAGCGCGACGACGTCGACGCTGTTGTCGTTCTTTCAAAATCGTTTCGAAATAACTTTTCTTGTTGGCACAGCGCGGCGCACTGCGGCGCGGCCAAGGGCCAGCTGGAGACGCTGCGCATCCTGGCCGCGCACGGCGCCAACCTGTGGCTGCGCAATGTGCGCGGCGACTTCCCCCTGCACGACGCGGTGCAGTCCGGGCGCCGCGACCTGGTGCTCTGGCTGCTGCAGCAGCGGCCCGACGCCGTCAACGCCCCCAACAACGACGGCCGCTGCCCGCTGCACATCGCGGCGCTGCACAACAACGTGGAGATGTGCAAGGTACGGGTCGTTTAAAAGCCAATGGTTTTTTTCTCTACAAAAGAATCAGTCTATACGCCTTCAAAAAATCAGAAAAAAATCAG